TCAAACTCCTGGGTTAAGTGATTTACCAGCCCCAGCCTCCTAAGAAAGTGGGACTGCAGACATGAACCACCACACCCAGCTACCCATGTGTTTATAAATTACATAGTAAACCTTCAGAAAAGTAATGTAGAGAGGGAATACTGTTTAAAATTCCTTGTAGTTCTGGTTTGGTATTCATAGTTTCTCAGTTGTTCTTTGTCATGGAAGTATCTTATTTCCCCATCCGTTTTGGAAGAACGTTTTGCAGGATGCATCAGTCTAGGTTGGAGTTTGTTTTCTTTTAGGACTTGAAATAACTCACTCCAGGCTCTTCTTGACCTGAGGGTTTGTGTTGAAAAGTCTGCTGTGATTCTGATGGGCTTTCCTTTGCTTGTGATTTGTTTCTTTTCTCTTACTGCTTGTAGTATTTTGATCTTCCATTGGGTTTCTGGGATCTTGATTATTATATGTCTATATGTATTATTTTTTTGATCATGGCTAGTTGGAGTCCTATATGCCTCACTTATCTGTATGTGAAATTCTTTTGCTCTGTTTGGAAAATTGTCTGTCATTAATTCTCTGAACAGTTGTTTTTTTATGTCATTTGTAATTTCTCCTGCTAGTTCATGGATTTCTATCAGTTTTATATTATTATTCTTTGCATCATCTAAGAGATTTTAGAATGATTCCTCATAATCCCTTACTGTTTTTAAGGGATATGTCTTTTCATGGTCACTGACTGCTATCTTCTATAGCTGAAATTCTATCTTCACATTTGTTTACCCTACTGCAAATGCTTTCCACAGAACTTTTAATCTCTTGATATCTTTTTGAATATTTAATTTACTCCATTTCTTTCCTCTGTTGGTCTTCAAGGTTTCCATTTGTTTCCTATGCTTGGCATTCATGGTTCCCATCATGGCCCTGAGCTTATCTATTTTTAATCTGCTTTATTTTCCGCGAGTTTCTAATCATTTCTTTCATTCTTCTCACCATCTCTGTGCTTACCTGGGAAATTATTTCTATTTTGAATTTTTCTAGAGCCTCATTTATCTGTTATTTTTTAAATTCCTGTGCTATGGGTTCAGGGTGTCCAGCTAGTTGATTGTCAGGCTTTCCCACCTCATTTCTGCCAGAGTTTCCCTTTGGTATGGTCTGTGTTTGTGTCTTGTTTAAATGTCTTTTCATTTCTATTTTTTGTGGGTACTTTCCTTGGTTTAATTCCTGGGTTAATACTTTGATCTTCCAGATATAGGTGGCCTTTAGGTCTTGAGTCTGTAACGACTGAGGAAATCTCATTTGCATTATACCAGGGAGGATAACTGATTAGATCAATCACAACACAGTAGCCCAAGTGTTACAACCAGCAACATAATAGCATTAAACACAGCTTAGAAAATGACAATATTTGTACTTATTAATCTATCACCTTTAACTGTGTGAATTAAATAAAAATTGAGGAGCAGCTCAAAATATGTTTATTGTGAATAAACACTTCAATATAGCCACTTTACCCTTCAGGATGGGGACTTAGAAGGAGTTGGGAGGAGAGGAATAGATAGATAATATAGAGAAAGGTTATAAGTGAGATCACAGGACACAAGAAGAGCACACAAACTCTAGGGAGCTGTTGAAGACAAGAAGAGAAGACAGAACAAAATATTCAGAAAAACAGAAAAAAACTAACAGCAATAGGGAGACTAGAGGTTGTAATCACTTCTTTTATAACTAATGGCAATTGAGAGAAGGAAAAAGAGAAGAAAGGTAAAAGAAATAAAATAAATTAAAATTAGGATACAAACAGGAACAAAAAGGGAGAGTAATGGAGACCAAGATGGGAGAGAGAAGAGTGAAAGAAAAGAATATAAGAAAAAGAAGATAAAAAAGAAAAAATTGAGAAAAGAAAAAGATAGAGAAAATTTTTTTAAATGATTAAAGGTAAGAGAAAAATATTACTTTGAAAATAAAAAAATACTAATAAAAATAGAGGGCCTCCTACAGGGTATGACTGTTGACACAACAGACAGTGTGGGCGGAGTGTGCAGGTCTAAGCTAATGAGTCTCAGCAAGGCAGCAGCTGTCCCCTGAGGTTCAGGCTGATTTTTGGCTGCAAGGCCCGAGTTGACATCTCTGACCTACTGCTAGGTTGAACCCTGCAAGTTTCCCTTGCTGGTTCTAGCTGTCTTTCCCCTGAAGTTAGACCAGGTTCCGATGTGAGGTGCTGGTCCCTTTAGCTTAACCAACTATGGTGGTATAGTGTGCCTTTATCCCAGATTTTCTTCACTTTTCCAGTGGGCTTCAGTTTTCGTCTGGGAGCCTCAGAGAGGCCCTCTTTCTCTTGTTCACAGCGGGGAGGGGTGAGATCCCCGGTCTCCTCTTGTGGGCCATGTGGAAGGAGCGGGCCTAGCACATGGTCCAGAATGGCTGCTGATCTCCTCTGTCCTGCTGGGCTGAAGGGACCAGAGAGTCACAAGCTGATGCAGGTTTCCTCTACTGCATTGGATTGAAGGGCTGGCAAGATCTTATAGATGCCTTTTTCTACCGTTATCTTCCCTACCCAGTACTATTTATTATTGTGTAAAAGCCTTTTATTTTTATGTAACCTGTACTTACAGAAAACTTTTTAGAACTCATGCCTATGTTTTTACTTATTCAGATTCCCAAATGTTAATGTTTTACATGTTTTACAATGTTTAGTTTTTAAAATTTATCCCTTTCTGCTTTCTCTTCCTCTTTTTCTTTCTCATTCTCTCCCTCCTTCCTCCTCCTCCTTTCTTTCTCAGACTAATATTTTTGGGAATACTTTCAGATGTAATGCATTGCACATACGGTCTGTATTTATCTGTAAATCATTTTCATTATTTTTGCTTATATTTTCAGTTAAATTCTAGATATGTATTAGTATATGTTTGTGACATAGTAAATGGATTTACTGGAGCTTGACACATATGCATAGCTCATCTTGATACTTTTAATCTCCTCATTTCCTCTTTTTTCCCCTTTCCCCATCCATCCCTCGATCCCCTTTCCATCTCCACAAAGTCTATCTCCCTAATTCCTGTCATATCCTTTCTGTTTTGCTCTTTAAATTATTTTTTACCTAATTAATAAATTTTTATTTTTATAATATTTACAAGTACATGTTTTCAGTATTCAGTAATGACACTCATTGTGGAGAGTTGGTACATGTACATAATACATTGTAATTCTTTTTTATTCACTTCCCGCCTTGCCTCTACCTCAGGCCCCTTCCCTCTTGCTACAGACCTGTCTCCCTCTTTTCTATTATCTTTACTTTTGCTCTTTATTTATATTTTGTATTTCTCACAGAAGTGATATTATGTAACATGTAGCCTTCAGTGTCTGATTTATTTCACTTAGCATTATGGACTCCAAATGTGTTCATTTTTCTACAAATATCTTTCCTAAACACATGGATATTGTTTCATATAACCATAGTACAGTGATCACATTTTTGTCCCTTTCCTTGCCCATCCCTGCCTGCTCCCTCCAAATTTTGTTCCCCTAGCAAATGCAATAGAGCATTGCAAAAGCTTTATTGCCACTGTTCTCTCCAATTCTTTATTTCATCACTTTTCCCTTCCTTCTTTCCTTTTTTTCAGCTTTAATTGAGTTTATTGGTACATTTTAGGGATACAGTACAGTTACATTCATTGTTGGGATCTTGTATCTCTACGTGACACGTCTTGGTTCTCATTTTTTCCCCTTACCCCTGCCCTCCCTTCATCCCCTCCTCCCCTCCCCATCTACAACCACTTTATTTCCATCTTTTCATTATCTCACATTTTTTTCTTTTCCCTTATTACCCTTCCCCTACCCATCCCACCTTCCCTACACCTTTAGCTCCTTTCTTTCCATTTCTAAATGTCAGTAATCTTATTAGGATCTTATGCATTGTTGCAGATTATTCACACCTGGGAAACTATTCGGTATTTACACATGTGTAACTTATTTATTTCACTTAGGAGTATATCTTCAATATGTATCCATTTTACTATGAATGAATCTAATTTCTCATTCTTTATGGCTGAGTAGTATTCCATTTTATAGAAAAACCACATCTTCTTTATCCAGTTTCCAACGGATGGGCAAATGGGCTGTTTCCAAGTTTTAGCTATTACAAACTGTGCTGCTATAAACGTGGGAGGGCATACTTCTCTGTGATATGATTCTTTTAGTTCTTTTGGAAAGATACCCAGCAGAGGAATGGCTGGGTCAAATGGAACCTCCAGTCCAAGCTCTTTGAGGTATCTCCATATTGATTTCCATAGTGGTTGCACCAGTCTGCACTCCCACCCACATTTCCCTCCATCTCTTGTTCCACTTCCCATTTAAAAAATCTCCCTTCTTTCTATTATCTATGCTTTTCATTAAGTTTACTGGTAAATTTTAGGTTTTATTTTGATCTTTATTTATATTTTGGTATTCTCATATAAGAGAAATCATGTGTCATTTAAACTTGTGTGTCTGATTTATTTCATTTAATATTATGGTCTCCAGGTGCAACCATTTACCTACCAAAGCCTCAAGTTTATCCTTCTTTATGGCAGAGTAGTACTCCAGTGCATAAAAATCCCTCACTTCCTTTATGCATCCCTCATTGCATTAGAGTGAAGTCCTTCACCTTTGACAGGAATCCCACAGAAATGATACTTTGGCCTTTTCAGTGAATCTTATCAGAAAGAACATGATGTTGATTTGTTCCATCACTGAATCTCTATGACTCTCAGCCAAATTTTTAAATAATGGATGGTTCAGATGGGAAGGTGGGAATAGTAAGTCCCATATTCAAGGATTCCATCTTGTTTTGGCTGTTAGAAAACTGGTACGCAAGCTGTTCCTTAAGAATTCCATTCATGAGTGAAATGAGATCTACTGTTTAGGTAAAGTAACTGACTTCATACACAACTTGACTAGTGTGGGCACTTCTGTTACATGGAAGACATTTGCTTACTGTGAATTTATTGTCTGATCTCTTCTTTTATAGAGAAATCTGATACATGAAAGCAGGAAACCGAACAAGAGTCTTGGAGTTCATCCTCCATGGACTTTCAGAGGATCCAGAGCTGCAGCTCATCCTCTTTGGGCTGTTCCTGGCCATGTACATAGTCACAGTGCTCGGGAACTTGGTCATCATCCTGGCTGTCAGCTCTGACTCCCACCTCCAAACCCCCATGTACTTCTTCCTCTCCAACCTGTCCTTTGTTGACATCTGTCTCAGCTCCACCATAGTCCCACAGATGCTGGTGAACATCTACACAGGGAACAAAGCCATCTCCTACTCGGACTGCCTCAAGCAGGTATATTTTTCCATGATTTTCCCTATCCTGGAAACTCTGCTCCTCACTGTGATGGCCTATGACCGCTTTGTGGCTATATGTCACCCACTGCACTACATGGTCCTCATGAATCCCCGCCTATGTGCCCTGCTGGTTATCATTACCTGGTTCATCAGCATCATGATATCTCTCCTCCATATTTCTCTGATGATGCATCTAACTTTCTGTAAAGATCTTGGAATTCCACATTTCTTCTGTGAGCTGACCCATGTTCTCAAGTTGGCCTGCTCTGACACTTTCCTGAATAGCACACTAATCTACATTATGACTGGTGTGCTGGGTGTTTTCCCCCTCATTGGGATCCTTTTCTCCTACTCACAAATTGTCTCAGCCTTAAGGAAGATGTCTTCCTCTAGGGGAAAGCAAAAGGCATTTTCCACCTGTGGGTCTCACCTGTCAGTTGTATCTTTATTTTATGGTACTGGTGTTGGGGTCAACTTCACTTCTACAGTCACCCAGTCCTCCCAGCCAGTCTCAGTGGCCTCTGTGATGTACAGCGTGGTGACCCCCATGCTGAACCCCTTCATTTACAGCCTGAGGAATAAAGATGTGAAGGGAGCCCTGGGCAGACTCCTCAGCAGAGCAGCCTCTTGTCTGTGATGTGTCCCTTGGCCCAAGACTAAGCAATCTTGTGTTTATTAAAGGCATAAAGTAATAAAAAGTAATAAAAAAAGAAAGAAAGGAGGAAGGAAAGAAAGAGGTGTACTCTGAAATTTGTATCTCTGAATTTCTTAAGCCATCTTGTTCTTTCACTTAATGCTGGAGGATCTATCATTTTTCTGCTCTGGATTTTTTACCAGAAACTATTTGGTATTTGCACATGTGTGGGTCTTATTTATTTTACTTCAGAGTATGGCCTCAATATACATCCGTTTTCCTATGAGTAACTCTAGTTTCTCATTCTTTATGGCTGAGTAGTACTCCATTTAATAGAAAACCACATCTTCTTTATCCAGTCTCTAACTGATGGGCAATTGGGCTGTTTCCAAGTTTCAGCTATTACAAACTGTGCTGCTACAAACATGGGTGCACATATATCCCTGTGGTATGATTCTTTTAATTCTTTTGGAAAGATAACCAGCAGAGGTATAGCTGGGTCAAATGCTTCCAGATTTTATACACTGTTAAAAAAAAATCATATCCTAGTAATGTCTCCAATGGCATCCCTGCCCTAACTCTATCCCAAATGTGCATCTTTCACCATTTATTTAAACTTTAACACTTGTGAATTTTGAACTTGAAGTACTTAGTATTGCTCTTAGATTTTCTTCCTTCCTTTTTCCTTCCCCTATTTCCTTGTTCTTTTTCCCCCTCCCTCCATTCCTCTCTTCCTTCCTTTCTTTCTTTGACTTGTGATACTTGTACCCAGGGCCTCACAGATTCTAGACAAGTGCTCTATAGCTGAGATATGGGTCCTTCCATCAGATTTGTAAATTATGGATTGCATTCACTTATTTCTATGTGTTTCCATGAATTTTGTGTTGTTTATGTGTATTATCAACAGTGTTTTCTAAAACAGGGTGAAGTACAATTAAAGTACATGTAAAACATAGCACATTGTAGTGCCTATTGTGTATAAGTTATGTGGTAATTACACTCTCTATACTCTCTTAGACAGACTTCCCTGTGGCAGGAATTAACATCACTTTTTTAGAGGTGAGGAGATTGAGGTTCTAATAGAAAACATGTGCACACATAAACACACAACAGAGCAAAACAATACAAACTTTCTCAAACTTACAGAGGGACTATTTGGCAAAAGCAAGGTTCAAACTCAAAAGTGCAATCTGATCCTGCATTCTTCCCTAATAGACTGCAGGGCCTTTTATGTGGATTCTGATATTGTGTGCACCTCTGTGGTGGATTTTTCTGGTGATTAATGATGTTTCTTGTTGTTCTCTTATTGAATACCCACACACACACTGCATTTCTTTCTAATTTGAAGTGATACATGAAAATTATTTTGGTCTTTTCAACAAAATACAAGTGACAAGGATGTGTCACTTTAAGCCAAACCATTTAAGAGCTGCTACATTATTTTTAATATTCATTCTTCCTCAAATTAAAAAGCTTCTGCATGGCAAAGGAAAGAACAGAGCAAATGGTGATTTTACAGAATGGCAGAAAATCTCCACCTTCTGCCCTTTGAACAGGTGCAAATATCAAGAACATACAGTGGACTGAAAAAAAAAAAACCCCAAGCAAATAGCTAATGGTCAAAAGAACTAACAGATACTTCTCAAGAGAAGTACAAAGGTACAGTAAGCATAATACAAATGTTAAATTCATTTGGCTATAAGGGGAAGTCAAAATAAAGCTACAGTGAGATTCCACCTCACTTCAGTCTGAATGCCTGTCACTAAAAATATAAGAAGCAAGTGCTCATGAGGATGTGAGGAGAAAGGAATTCTTCCACACGGTTTTTGGGAATGTAAATGTGTACAGACATAATGGAAAACAATATGGAGGTTCCTGAAAGAAAAAAGCTAAAAATAAAGATACTAGTTAGTCTAGCTGTACCATTTCTCAGTATATCTCCAAAAGAATTAAAATCAGCATACTACATACTTATCTGCCTATGCATAAGACAAGAGACACTGTTCACAGTAACTAAGCTATGGAATCAGCCTAGGTGATCATCAATAGATGAAGCAATAAAGAACAAAGGGGATATATACACAAAGTGGAATATTATTTAGCCATAAGGAATAGAATCATGTTATTTGCAAGGTAATGGATGGAACTGGAGATTATCATGTCAAGCAATATGAACTAGACTCAATATGTCCAATGTCATATTTTATTGCATATATAAAAAACAAACAAACAAACAAACAAAAAACAGACAGAAAGAGATGACAGGGAACTAGACAGGGACTACTAGAGGCTATGAAAGGAACAATGCTAGGGGAGAGAAGAGCAAGGAAAGCCACTAGGGTGAAATGATCAAAGTATGTTACGTCTATATACAAATATGACAAAATAAAATCCATTAATCTGTATAACTAATATTACTTAATAAAAACATCATTCTTCAATTTATTTGCTATTGTAGAGGTATATGTTCATAGGGATATATTATAAGATGAAAATTGCCTAGAAAGCTGATCTTATACGTAGAGCACTCTCTTTTTCAGTTGCCCAAGTTGATAGACACTCTACAAGGGAAAGAAATAAGGTGTTTTATTAAATCAATAACATTTTAGAGATGTTACAGCAACATAGCCATACTCTCCCTGGCTATTACAAATTCTATGCCTTAAAAGTTGAATGCATATCTACCCCTATTATTTTTACCATTATGCTAAGAAAAAATGGGAAATTTCCTGAAAGCATATAGTGTATGGGAATACATGCATGTACTCAGTACAAATTAGCTATATTTTCAAAATCTTGTATCTAGTTCTAGACTGAGAGGGAATTTATAGGGGACTCAGAAAAGAGTTAACAAGTTCACAAAGAGCTATAATTCATATACCTTCCTGCTTGGCGGCTCTGAACCACCAGAGGTTCAGGCCAGTGGGAACATGTTAAAGGTTTGAAAGCAAAGATCCACCTAAAGGAAAGTAGGCATATAAAATATAAAGAAAATTGGGCAATAGCTTAATTGTGAATTTGAATATTTGAAGTCTCAAAATGTTTTTAGTGGTGCTTCTTACCTAACAGAATACACTTCCCAGCTATGTAATAAACATCACCTCACACAGGTGTAAATCCTCATAAATCCTCTCCCCTTCCTTTGCAGTCTCATCTTTCATTGCTGTCCAGCTTTCATTTTCCAGTCCAGTTCTAAGTTGTTCACAATGTCTAAAGTACCCCTACTCTTTCATTTTTGTGTCAAGCATTTTTGTTCTCTCCTTGAAATGCCTTTCCCTTTTTAGTTTCTACTGAGATACCATTTCTATGAACACTTCTCCCATGATTCCCTGCAAGCAAATCAGTCATTCTTGTTCTATTTCCAGTATGTTTTTAACACATCTTCAGCATATGTGTATACCCATGCAATTATTTAATTACACATCCCTTTACCCTTCTTGATTATGAGCTGTTCAAAGCACAAGGACATTGTATCCCCAGCACAAAGTATTCAGTAAATGTTCCATGAATAAATTAAGGGGATAGTGAAAAGCACTTTTTCATATTCTGTGTGTCAACCAAAACAACAACAACAACAACAACAACAACATGAATTTAAATATGAAAAAATTTTAAAAGAATTTCCTAGCAGTAAAAGTTGATGTTTGAGAAAAATAAATGTTTCTCTGAAGGTCTTTAATGCAAAATGGAATATCACTGGGCAGAAGAAGTTAGAGCATTCCTCTGTCTCAAGGCAGTTACAAATAAGATTGCTTTTGTTGTTTTGGGAAAACAATTTGAAATTTCCTTTTCATTCATTTGCAATGTTTCCATTCTTTCATGAGAAATGTAATTCAGTTTCACATTAATATGTAAATGCAGCATTGTAGCCAGTCACTGTTGTAGTAGATTTGTAAGGGAATTGATATACTAAATAGATACATCAGGTAGATAGATAGATAGATAGATAGATAGATAGATACACAGATACATAGATACATAGATAGATACATAGATAGATAGATAGTCGTAAGTAAAATTGAGAAGAGTACAAAAGTTCTGTCCATGAGATGGAGACTCAAAGAATCCAGCTGAGGGGCTGGATTCCAAGTCAATGACCTGCACTAGTACAGGGGGAAGCCTAGAGGCCACAACAATATCTCATGCAAGTCCATATCAAAGATATGCACTGCAACTACACTGGAGCCAGGAAGCGACACTCAAGACAGTGGTGAAGACGAGAACTCCTCTGAAGAGAACAGCACCATCTTGGTGACAGGGAGGACCTGGGCTCCTCCAACACTAGGAGCAGTCAAGTTTGTATGAGGAAAACCAGTCGCAATAAAGCTTGCAGCATGCAATCTTCAGCAGCATACAGTTTTCCCCTCCCATTGTCCTTCTATGCCATTGTTAACAACTCTCAGGTGGGTCTACCATACCCAGAACCGCAATGATTCAGTTCAGGTGGGTGTTTCCACTCAAGTACTCCATTAATCAACCCACAACATACACATAAGCATATATACACATAAATACATGTCATAGTCTGGTGAGTGTGTGTGTTACTGGGAATTGAACTTGGGATCTCATGCATGCTAGGAAAGTGTTCTACCACTGAGCTACATCTCCAGCCCATGTCTTAACTTGTTTTGCGCTGTTATACAAATGCATGAGACTGAATAGTTTATACAAATAGAAATTTACTTGTGTTAGTGCTTGAGGTGGAAAATTCCAAAATAAAAGCATGCGGATTTATCTGATGAGGATTGTGTCCTCTGGAAGGAAAACATACAATGTCTTTACGTGGCAGAAGTCAGCATAGCAATGGAGCCAAATGCATGTGAAACTTCTTTCATGAGACCCAATCTTATTTATGAAGGAGGAACCCTGTTTACAATTGTATTGGTATTTTTTGAGATACATAATAGCAAATTTGTTCTGGGGGAATACCTATATCTATATATAATATAAATGTATCTATATATATTCTTAATTTTATATATAATATCCATATATATATTTTT